TGGGCAGGATTACATTATCCTGGCGACTCAATCACGGCTTCCTAGAGCTCCCTCCCTCCTTCCCTTATTCTCCGGTACATGCGGTTTTGGTGGATAGCCCATCGGTGATGAAGGAGAGAGTATAAAATAAAATGGGTAAGTATATATAGTTCCATAGAGTTTTTAACCATCCGATTTCTTTCGCTGTAATTGCTTTGTTCTTTGCAAGATATCTGAAGTTAACGTAATGAGCAATAGATTTGCGCTCTGCAAATAGTAAAAAAAAAAACACGAACGAAAAAGAAACAGAAGTTGTATTATAGCGTATTCGATTGGATGAGTTTAATTCTGATTGCAGCTTGCTATGATCAAAGAAAATACTTCATTTTTTAAATGGCGCCACACATCATCCATATTGAATATTCTTTTACTTGACGTAATTTACACGTAATTGTTTTTTTAAGAGGTTTTTTAATTTACTGTTTTTTTTAACTATGAAAGTCAATTTCCAATATATTCAAATACATTAAATTTTAGCTTTAAGAAATTCTAAAGTTAGACAGGGAATGCGAACGAAAATCCGATTTAAGAGTAGAACAGAACGTTATTGTCGTATCTAGTATATTTTACCTCTGTGGAGCATTGCTCAGATCCCTTCTGTGTTACGTAAATAAAAACGATATTAGTCTGTCACTGTTGGCCAGTCCAATATGTATGGAGAAAGAACTATTTAAACTTTTTGTACACTGGGTCCTTTCGAAGTAGGCAAATAACGATGCGAATAAAACATTATGTAATACTTGGAAACGTTTGCAGATAATAACTGTTGTGTTTCAAGTGTTAAATTTGTTAATTTTTACTTCAGTTATTAGGAATTCTGTTTCGAGATTCCGATATTTCGATATTTATTTTCCGATATTTCGATATTTATTATACTATGTATGTAAAGAAAGTATTATTTTTAGGCCACTCTAAAAAGGGGGCTCTCATTTCGTCTGTATGTTATTTTTGTGTGTTTGTTGTTACGCGATTATCAGCCAATTAAGGATCAATTTCCAAAATTCTTTTTTTTTTATTGGACAGCTTAATGAGCTAAGGTGGTCCCATTAATTTTTTATTTTAATTGAATCTGAATGGAAGAAGAATTGAATCATAAAATAAAATATGCTTATACCTCGTGCGTTCATAAGTTTTGAGACGAAATAAAAGTTCCGTAAGTTTTTTAATAATTAACTTATATATCAAAAATGTTCAGTAACCATTAAATAGATAATAATCAAAAATAAAATATATATTTTATTCAAAATTATCGCTCTTGTTTTTAATACAAGTCCTTAGACCATTTGGCCAGTCATCAATGATGGTACGGATCTTTTTTAGCGGAATTCGCTTTGCTTCTCGAACAAGGGTTCGCTTCAGTGACTCCAAGTTTGGTTGGGACTTTCGGCAGACCCTGAGCTCTAATTCAGTCCATAAAGAATAATCCAGCGGGTTGAGGTCGGAGCTAGAGGAGGACCACTCGTCCGCCGCGATGAAGGCCGGCACATTGCTATTTGCCTTATGGGGTGGCGCCGAGTCTTACTGAAAAACCCAATCTTGTGAAATAAAGTATCAGACAGGGGTTTCACCATGCAATTGTTGGCAGAAATGGAGCGGAGTGACACCTTTATACGAAACTCCCCGCCATGCCATAACACTAGCCGGATAATGAGTGCGCGAGACATTCCGTACAGAAGTTGGGACATCCTTGCTACTTTTGGCCGTTTGTGCAACTGACCGTAAGTCGCGCAATAAAAAAATTGAGGACTTTTGAATATATATATAATACAAAACACCTATCAAGATACCTATACAAAATATTTATACATAAGTAGCACTATAAGTAATGAAAAAACATTTTTGTATAAATAGAACTGACTCCAAACTTTAAAAAAGTGAAAAATAATACTTATCTTAAAAGGAACATTGAAGAAGCGTTATCATTTAACAGAATATATTATTTAAGAAAACCTCAGTCCGACTTCAATGGTTCTTGAAAAATTTAACGGCTATGAAGATAAGTATTTTTTTCATGTTTTAAAATTTGAAGTCGATTCTGTTATTAGAATAATGTTTTTTTAAATATAAACAATATTTCGTATCCAGTGTACGGATGCCTTGCTTTGACGTCTGCAGAATCAATCATGCCGTTCACGTCGCCAACAATTGGTCCACGTATCGTACTGTGAAACAATACAAAATACATGGCAGCCCTTTTATGATTCAAAATAAACGTCGTAAAAAGTGACAAATTGCTTTTGACGCTTATATTTAAGCAGAAAATGGATATTTTCTAGGGTCCGTGGTGGTGATGTATGATCTAACGCTTAATAGCGTAAGAAGAGGCGTAATGGAATTTTTTTTTAATAAATATATTTTTCAATGCTGTTGCTCATAAAGCGCTATTTTTTTAATCCGTTGTAAACACCGAAAGTGAGTCTTTAAACACGTGTTAAATAAAAATGTACTGAAATCCTTTACTGCACACGTGCTTAAAAGTATATTTTTAATTTTTTTGGCCGAGCACCAAAGAAATTTAAAAAAAAAATTATGAAAATATGTCAAACTTTAGAGGCAAAAATATTTCAAGGAGCCAGAACGAATATTTTCAAATAAAAATGTATGACACGAAAACGTGTTTAAATATCACGTTTAATTTTAACAAATCATTTTTACCTTTTATACATACTTAGTTTTATTAACCTATATATTTGTTTTATTTCCTCGCAAAAAGCATTGAAAAATGTTGTAAGAAACTTGAGCGTAAAAGGTTTTTCGAATTCGTGCCAATGAAAACCCTCGCTACGCTCGTATTTTCAATTTGGCCCTTATTCGTAAAACCTTACTTTCCGCTCTCGTATCTTAAATAACTATTTTTTGCATTAATAAAAAGCTATATTGACATTTTTCTTAAAATATGAATCACCAATTTGTAGGCAAATATTGTAGGTATGTATTTATTTTAATTTTAGCTTCGTCGTTTTTATATCATTGTTGCGTATTGTCAATTGTATTTATTTTGGGTATCCCCAATTTTTTCCTTTTATTTCGGCTTCAAGGCGAGGAAGTATGCGTTAGTATCTACGTGAAGGATCATTCGAGTGTGCACGGTTAAATGTCATATAATATCTTTAATCATTTGTTCTGCCGTTCAGCGCGATGGTTGAGACCCATCGCATTTTGTGCCTGATATGTATCGACCCTAAGTGACTGAAATATTTATCAATTTACTTATAATAAGCAAGTATAATGATGTGAAGTAGGTAAAGTATCAAATTGTAAAGTTTATCGATAACTTTGTAATTATTATTTCTTTTACGAGAAAATTGTTTCGACTCAATTAGTATCTTTAGATATGTGATTTTGTTTTTCATTTGTAATAATAGCTTATTTCAGCAGTTGATTCTTATGTTCAAAATAAATCAATAGTACGTTTTGGGGTTGGTTACTTTTAAAGCCTTTCTTGCGTTCACGTAGTGACTTATAAACTTTCATTAAGACACACCTGTTTCAATATATATCGCTTTTATAATGAACCCTCCAATTATATTTAATACCTTTAATAACACCATTATATCTGAAATCTAAATTGAAATTATACAAATTCTGATTGCGCTACTTACAAACTTGGAAGACATACAGTGTTATTTAACGAATTATTAAAGTCATATATAAGTCATACAACAGGCATTGTTGTTTCTGAGGTTAGCTGTCTAATTCTGCAAGTCTATTGGTGTTTTGTAAATAACGCTGTGTACAAGGTATAAGATATATATATATCACAACTATCCAGTTAGGATAAATCAGCCGTTCAATTGGGCGGCTAGTTCTATGACTTAATAATTCGTTCTATTTTGCTTATATACAAAAATAAATTTAATATCTCTCCCGCATCTAGTATCTACTGTGTAAGTAAGCAGGCGTTAGATACAAAAAAAATCAAGTTCAAGTAGACGATTCAAATCGTTCTAGTTCGATCGTCGGATTAGTGAGAATTTTTTTCCCATTAGTTCGACCGTTCATTTGTTCCATAAATTGTGATTTTAAACGTTCCAATATTCCATAAGTCGTTATAACAATCGCTATTCCTTTGAAAGGGATGGGATAGATTTTGAAATAAGACAATCAGGTCACTGAAGTGATTTTGTTTGATATAAAAATTACAGTAACATTTATACCTTATAAATAATTATATTAATATAATTAATAAATAATTACATTCTTATAAGGTTTAAATTATATAGTTTCACATAAGGCGATTCGCAAATGTAGAGTCTCGCTACATAATTTTTTAAATACCTCTTTTGCTTTATTTACATACAGTATTACTAGATAGATTATACTTGGAGACGAGTAAAAATCAACGTATGGACCGCAAAACTCACATCTCGAAGGCTTCATGGAATTAAATAAATGTTTCTTCCTTCGAATGTATTCGAAGCGAGCTGTTAGGCTTGACTCGAGTGTCTATACGTGTCTACGAGTCAGTGTCCAAATTGAGCCACTGTCTTTGTTGAACATACATCATTGGCTCAAAAGATTCGGTGAATGCTGAATGTCGCAAGTTCCGAGTTGCTTGAAAGAATAATGCTTAACGTGTGGATGAAAGCACGTTTGATTTTTACTCGATTTTACTTGATCGAATAAAACCGTGTATGAATACAGTCAATTATATATTTAGTCTGCGTATTTTAAATGATACCATAAATACACAAGTCACACTCTCCTTTCTCAATGACTCGGGAATAAGATTTTTCGAGCTTGAAAGAAGATTTATTTGATTTGAAATGATGTGAAAAGCAAAAGTAATATAGCAAATTTATATTTATATGAATTTCTTTCTTTCGATCATATTATATTACTTTCACTATCTTCTCGAGCGAGATAATAGTCCATATCAATCGCTTTTGCGCCACTGGGAAAAGACGCAAAATTACAAAAGTACGATTTACGTTCATTGTGGAAAAATGTAGCTAGAATTCTTAGGCGAATTTATGAATATTATGGTTTATGGACGAGAACATAATACGACTAGGGATTCTATCTTTATAATTGTCGTAAATAATTATGTGGCCGAATGGGAGATCTTCGTTGAAGGAGTGTTGTTTCTGGTTCGGTGATTTTTGGATAGATTTGTCGGCCATTGATTTGCGTGGTGCCTGGTTATAAAGAATGAGAAAATAATAAGATGTTTTACACTGATTATAGTTTTGTTTAGTTAGAATTTTATTACAGTTTTCGAGGAATTTCCACATACAAAAGCTAAGTTTAAGAAACTTTGAACCATTGGCCGGCTGCATCTTAGTCATTAATACCTAACAATCCGCATTGGGTTCTCGTGAATCATCTTCTTCTCTATTTCCAGCAGTGAGGAAATTATTAAGCTTAATAAATATAAGCACATATATACATGCTTTAGTTAAAAATAAATTTTACCTGTGCTTCTCTTGGACTCGAACTATTGCTGTTTGCTTTGTCCTTATTATTGTTAATTGTATTATTCGTATTATAGTCAGTTTCTGCTTCACTTGGACTAAAACTACAGCTGCTTGCTTTATTATCATTATTGTTAATTGTACTATTCGTAATACAGTCAATTTCTGTTTCACTTGGATTAACACTACTTTTGCTTGCTTTGTTCTCATTGTTGCAGTCACTTTCTATGTCACTTTGGTCTTCAGAATCGTTATCTTCTTCGTTTTCAGTAAACGTAGGTGACATTGACATATCTGAAACTTAAATATATGGTATGGATACCTCAATTTTTTTAAAACAAATCCTTTAAGTACATGGGACTGGTGGAAGCATTGAGCATTTTTCATTAAGAAATTCCAGGAGATGTGAAAATTATTTCAGTTCTTACTTACTATGAAACTCGCCAAAACGCACCCTTTTACGAAATACAATATCGTGTTCCAAATTCACGGTATCTAAAAATTTTAGCATATTAGAAATGATCTTAGATAATGAAAAAAAACATGGTAATCGGTTTTATTGTGATGATAAAAAAGATAGCTCACATAGTAAGCAACGCAATGTATCGCCGTTGTTTAATATTTTCGCAAAAAAAAAATACGTGTTATATATTCTTCAGCAATCAACCTGACAGACAAACAAACGAAACTCGGCCACTTGTGACTCGGAATTGCGCACGAAGTTCATCATCACCTTTTCTGTATGGAAGCAGCCTTAAAGATTTTTTTTATTCTGGTTTTTAGTATTTATTGTTAAAGCGGCAACAGAAATACTGGCTGCATTAATACCAATCCGCATTGGACTTCAGGGTCATGGCCCATTTATTCGTTTTTGTTTTCATTCCTAGGGAAGGTCTTAGCCCCAGTAGTGGGGATATTAATAGACTAATGATGATGATGATATATGATGATTTTAATGCCTCACTGACATTGTGGCCTAGGGCAAGTGCACTCGTTTGTTTCTCCCTTATATCCAGCTTTGGCACTGACCATTTTAATGGTTACGTGGTTCGTATTAGTGCAATGACTCGTATTATTGAAGTTACGTAAACACAGCACATCAGTAACTACAAAAAACCTTACTGATAAATTAAGATATGGATTATCATAAATAAAATATAAGACAACATCACCTATATATATTGCTCTATTTTAAATTAAGTAACCTAAGCATTTTTACTATGGAAATCTGAAGCAAGAAGGGAAGCAGTACATCCAGACTAGAGACAACATATAAAATTTCTTTTCTTACATTGACCAGACCGGGAATCGAACCCGGACCGAATAGATGGCGACATCTTGAAATATGCGAGTCCCTTAGCCACGGTGGCTTCATAGACTACGGCTTGTAACATAACCTGACGTGTTATCTCTTGTTCATATACGAGATATTTAATGGTGGTGATCGAGTACAAGATTGCCGCTCTTATTTTAAATATGAAAATGAAACCTTCATATAACTGATTTATCTTTCTCTTGTATAATTTCGCCGCTCCGTCTACCAGAACTGCAGAGGTCCTAAGGGATAACCTTTTGTAAGGTTCTTCGTCGCGACTAGCAATCCAAGAGTCTAGATTATTGCTAGAAATATAAATAAATCAGCAATATTAGTACCTATGCTATTTCAATCTTGCGTTTTCCGTCATTTTTTTACGTTGGGTAGCATGACTGTATTTTTATTAACCATGTGGCATCAGAATGAAAAACGATATACATGGCACCTACAACCTGCACCCAAGGCAAATTGCGACATGCCACATTTTTTATATAAAAAATTAACTCAATGGTTATTAAGAAAATTTGAATGAGCTACATGATTATTTATTTTTAATTTAATATTTTTGCCTTTAAAATAGCAAATGGCAGACTTAATGGCAAAAATTCATGCTCTACCAGGGAAACCGGTGTAAATGTGTAGTAAATTCAAAAGCAGTATCAGTAAAATAATAGGATAACCTAGTTTCTAATAAAGTAATGCACATTAAATACTCATACACTTACGCATAAACTTCTCAGACTACGAAACACGAATAGATTAAAGATAATGTTCTCGTACTGCTTTCTAAAATGCCAACATGATAAGGAGGTGTTAAATTTTTCATTCTTAATGAAAAATGTTTCAAAATCTACTTGTTTCCTGGCACCCTGAGATGGGGTTCGAGAACCCATGACCTTCAATCCGGGTGAATGCTCTAATTACTGAGCTACTCATGACCTAACAAGACTGACGAATCTTTCAAGCATTTGTTACTTTTTCGCTACTACAGAGTGTATTCTCATCAATGGTCATTAAGAATATGTTCGCAATAAGTGAATCACATCATTCAAATTAGTTTTAAAATGTTGCTGAATCGTTGGTCTAATGGTGTACCCTACACAGATCCGATCCCACACTAAGTTGTCAAAGTCCTTGTATTATGAAAATGTAAAGGAACACCACAAAACCCTGAGCCGAGACAAAATAGTTATTTTTTTGAAGAAGCCCTAACTTAATGTAAAGCTTAATAATAATAATAATAAACTTTTTTGTTTTCTCACACAGATATCAAAATATAGTAACCCCCTTAAAAACTAAGTAGAACAATTTTATAATCTATGCAAGAGACTGGTATCTGTACTAGTAGAACTGTATGACAGATAACCAGCCTCTCCAATCCTGAACCAGGCGGGAATTATAATGAGGTACCAGTGATATGTAATACATAAAAATTAATAAAAGAGATTGTGATGTGCGAAATGTGTGTGATATATGTTATGAAGGAGTTTGTGTGTGTATGCGTGGGTGTGTGTGGGTGTGTGTGTGTGTGTATGAATGCGTTATTAGTTACTGGTCTTTTGAAATGTAGCAGTGGATGATCTATCAGAGTAACAGATGACTAAACTGTTAGCAGATCAATTTGGATGTTTCGTCTCATACTAGACCTTATTTTTGACAGATCAATCGGGTCTAGAGTCACGCGGGGGTGACTACGTGGTACATTATACGTGGTGTTGATAGCTGTAAATGAAGCCAGGACCAACAGTGCTTTTCAAAGCACGGAACAATTCGAGATAATTCATTCATTTTTTGAGGAAGTTCCTTGAAGCACGATTAAAAATGAGTCTTTGAGCGCCTCGACTATGATCTTATTAAATTCTCTTTTCCATTTATAAAATTGAATAAGAATTGTGAGCTTTAATATCAAATCTATTGATATATAAAAACTTACCAAATTATCGGCATATTGACATCTTCGTTACAACTCACTTCAATATTGTTGGCCACCCTCCAAACTTTACCGAGATGACGACTGTTCATCAGATTCTTATCGTAAAACATTTTCTATGTAGTCGATAACTATACAATAAATCACTGTTTATAACCAGTTTATAACTTATTTCTTTTCTAAAGATTAAAGCATTAATTCAGACTGAAATATTAACGCTCAATATAACGTAATATAGTTATAAAAGTAATTATAAATCAAATTTGAATGTACCTAAACGAAGTTTTGTGATAAAACCCGATTTGATTTTATTTAATTACTGGGTTTAGCGTAATTTGAATTAATTTCTCCCTCGGAAAATATGATTGACAGCACAGTAGTAGTTTTAATAGAATATTATTGAATAGCAAATGGAATTTATTCATAAAGCCAAAATATTTTAGTGGTCTAAGTGTAAAGTATTTATTTAGCTTTATAAAATTAAAAGGATTTAATATTTTATTAAAGGGAATCTTTTAAAGTTTTTAGTATGTACAAAATTATAATTGAATCTATTATTTAGATAAATAATATTGGTGGGCTGCACTTACTATTAACGATATATGATGAGCACAAGTATTGAGATAATAAGTCACGGGTAACAGTTAAGTAGATTTACTTAGGTATTATGGTTATGTGCTGGTGGTTGCCAGATGGCTAGCCAGCAGGCGCTATTTTTATTACAAGAAAGTAATAAAACAGTCATGCATCCTGTTACGGGTGGCGTATAGTCAATTTTAATTATTGTAATATCGTTATAATAAACATCTGAAATCGGAAACAGTGTAAAGAATAAATGGTGGGTTTTGAAAATAACTAAGATTTTTTTTACTTTACTGCACTGGAAAAACCAAAGACTATATAACCAACTACTGTTCGAAAAATACATATTTGTTAATTTTCCATAACAATTTTCCTAGTAATTTTTTCTTTTATCACTAATAATAATAATAATATTCTGATCTACTATCTATCTTAACTACCAAAACATGAGGTGAATTGTTTAACTAAAATATAATCTATCTATAAATCATTGATAATCATAAATCTACAATAATGATGAACTTTCAAAAACCATGAAAATCTGAAGAGAAGGGATTTGAATCGTGCAGCCAAGATATTTTGAAACTTTTTTAATAATTATATGTCGCACATTTGAACACAAGTTTTGCCATTCCGTGTCGGTTTTTAATGTACAGTTAGCCGCAGCTCTAATACACTGAGGGTAATGTTCAAATTTAATTCTGAAAATATTGCGGTATATAAAGTGATTAGTGTCAAAATGTTAACATGTCTGTCACTCTTGCGCGAAGACTATTGAAAACTGTGGGTTCAAAGGATTAATTAAATTAGAGCGGCGTTCGTACCATTCGTATTATCAATGAATGATGCAGGGGTTTTGTTTGATCAAAATATTTCATAGAGACGATCACTTATGCGAGCACATGTCTGGCACCGGTTTTACAATGTGTATACGCTATTTGTTTATCAGTAAAAGACGTTCACCTCGTTGTCTGTTTGAGTCGAGATATCTTATATTCTACATAGTTTATTGTCCTCCTTTCTCTACTAATATAGTAACATGACGAAGGCACTGATAAAGTTCGTAGGTTAAGTTATTGTTAGAGATGTATGAGGAAAATATAATCTTCCTTATTTATAAAACGTATTCCTACGTCGCTTGACTATTTGAATATAATAAATTAGAAGTCTACCGAATAGATATATATTAATGTTATTTTCATGAATATCTAGAGATATGAAGTAATTTATAAAGGAATTGTTCAAAGAAATATCGTCAAAAATGAGTTTAGAAGAAATCACCTATCCAGTTGCTGGACTATCTTAATTCCAAGCATTGTTATCTGTTATATAATCGGATATCTTGTAATAAGCTTTTTTAATAAGTAATTTTTTAATAGTAATAATTGATATATTTTGCTTGGGACCTTATTGTCGAAGTGCACACAAAAACTCGTTAATGAGTTATTAACTTTTTGCAGTCTACTGACAGGCAACGTTAATTTATTTTTATTTATTGTATTAAAATTGTGTACACTTTATAGAAAACAAACTAACATTTTTACTAACGTACATTAAGTTCTCGTATATGTATTGAGAAGCCACAGTCATTAGATCTATTTCCTTAAATTTCTCCCTTAAAGAGTCTTTAGTCCTAAGATAATAAATTGATCTAATTACTCTTTTCTGAAGCACAAAAATCGTTTATATGTCGGCGGCATTTCTCCACAATAGGATTTCGTACGACATTACGCTATGAAGGTAACTAAAATATACTAATCTGGCAGTATCTATGTCAGTTAATCTACGTATCTTCATTAAAGCATATGCTGCAGAGCTAAGTCTATTCGACAATTTATTAATATGAGGGCCCCACTTTAGTTTAGAATCTAATGTTATTCCTAAATTTATTGTGGTATCCACAAGGCGCATGTTGTTTTATTTTATAATCATATTTATATCTACTTTTATAACATTAGGTAGTACAAATTTCAGGCATCTTTTTTCCTTATTTAGGGAGAAGATTATTTACATAAAACAAATGTACTTGTACTATTTAAGTAGCCTTCTTTTAATTTTAAACAAAATTAAAGTGTCATTCGCAAACAAAACTATTTCGTGATTATCCCTTACGAAATAAGATATGTCATTTATGTAAATTAAAAACAAGAAAGGACCAAGTATTGAGCCCTGTGGAACACCCATCTTAACTTTCAATTCAGCGAATATTTTGCCATTGATATCAACCCTCTGTACTCTGTCGGGCTAGTATGTGATACTAAAATCCAATTAGTTATCTCTAAATCCATAATAATTAAGTTTCCTAATCAACGTTTCATGAAAAACACAATCAAATGCCTTAGATAGGTCACAACTTGATATAAGTAGTTTAAGGTGCATTTTATATGAGCATTACAAACAGTTTGTTATTCATCCAAATTTATTTCATCACCTTCAAAGTATAATCATTTTTCAAAAAACATTTTTAAACGCTATTTCCGGAATTGAGTTCAGTTCTCGCAGCAAATTCTCCTTTATGTTTTCTATCGACAACGAGTGTCACGAAGTGGTAGTTTGAGTTAAGGAAAAAGAAAGAAGTCGGCTGGAGCCGTTCATTCACAATGATGGCCTTGTGCGAAGCCACACTATCGTCGTGCATAATCCAAGAATTTTCTTTCTACATATCAAGCCTTTTTCGTCGAATTTACACTCATAAACGCGGCATAAAGCTCAAATAGTCCTAATATTTCTCATTTACCGTTTGACCTCCGAAGAATTCCGAGTACAGAACTCCGCGATAGTCAAAGAAAACAGTCAACATGATTTTGACTTTTGAATGACTTTGGCGTGGTTTTTTCGGTTTCTTTTCAGTTGGAAGGTGCCACTCCGAAGATTGTTGACTAGTTAGCATGTCAAACTCGTAAACCCACGTCTTGTCACCAGTAACAATGAGTTTCATGAATGTTGGGTCGAAATTGACTCGTTCTAGCATGTCCTCAGTCAAAATTCAGGTCTTATGGGACTAGCCGAGCGGCAACATGTTTCATACCCGAATGATTAGTTAAAAGGGTGCGGATCGTGAGATACAGAAAGTTCGGCGGCTATCTCTCTCAAAGTTGAATGAGGATTTTCAGTCAATTTTCATTCATTTTAGCGATGTTAACTTCAGTTGCAGACGTCGATGCCCTACTAGAGCGAGGCAAATCTTACATCACACTTCGACCGCTTTTGAACGCTTTGCACCACTCATAAGCACAAGTTTTTGATAAATTCGATTCACCATAAGTTTTCTGTAATATTTTCAGTGACTCCGAACACGAAATTCCACTGACGATGCAACATTTAAGACAAACTCTTTTTAAGATGTTTTTGTCTATTATAAAATTCGCAATACACATTAGATATTATATAATTAAAAACAGTACTGTATTTAATATAAATAACAGAAATGGAAAAAAGTTGTGCCAATCTAAGAACAACATAAAATTAAAATCTGAATTTGGAACCCTAAACAAATAAATCCATTCCCGATACTTGACTAAATGTATTATTCCATTAGTTACGCTGGATTTGATAATAGAATGAAAGAAATTGAGTTTAGAATAATCTTATAAAAAGTTTCTTAAAAACCATAATAAACTGCACTAACACATTTATAATGGTCTTCTTTAACATTCAGAATTAATTAGCATAAATTTCACGATACATTAACATAGATAACTGTATTACAGAAGTTTCCAGAGGTAGTCTGGAAACTTCGCACAAATCTGTTACGCTTTGGTAACGCACCATGCGAATTTTAATCTCTTAGAAGTTCCTTACTTAAAAGTACTTTTTTCTACAGCAGGCACAAGGGCACGACTGAAAAATACGTTATATAAAAGGTTTTTTACAAATGACCTAGGAACCAACAAGGAGTAATGTTTGTATCATAGACTATAAAAAAAGTCTTAAATAGACAAATAGATAATTTTTTTACAGCTTTGCTTTAACATTGTCTTTTAATTAATACGTTTTCACTAGCGTATGCTGTAGCTTGTACGTGAAATAATTTTTAAAATAGGTCCAGTAGTTTTCGAGCCTTTTCAACCTTACCTATAGGTTTTTCGGTATAATCGGAAATAATTGTCAGTAGGTATATTGATTGAGTTGATAGGAATCAATGTTTCAGTCGAGTGTTAGAACAATAGGTCGCGTAAAGTTTTGTGTATTCGAGCTATAAGATTGTATTGCTACTCTCACATTCTTGTTTATTTAGAAATTTAAAGAAGTTTTTATATATTATTCTGCTTTGTTTGATCAATTGTGAGTGTAAGATCAACAGGTTCTACGACTTATTCTAGCACGCTCAAATAAGCGTTTTTGAAGGAAGAATAAAATTATTCCAATGCGGCATGGTACTAAACCGACGGGTTCGCAGCGTCCCGACAGTGGTAATCTTTTAGAGGAAATTCGGTCGTCACCTCAGACCTCTCCCGTGTCGCGTGAGGGACGCACGTCCTTACTGCGGTTAACGGAACACCGGCGTATCCGCGTTCGAATTTCAATTTTATCGTAAGCGGTATTTTTTTTAAAGTGTTAGTGTTTTGTGGCGGTAAAAAATGTAAGTTAACTTTTATTATGGTTATGGTAATTTTCATTTTATTTTATTTTAATTATAGCCTGTGCATTTGGATAGGTTTTGAAATTCGAACTAAAGGATAGTTAATTTTTTTGTTGAAAAATATTGCTAAATAAAGTCAACATTAATAGATAAATGACAAACAGAATAAGCGTAAAAGCATTTGAATTTTTTTCGAACATTTGAAAACCATATAAAAACTGTTATCCTAGATCACTTTCAGATTATACAATTCACTGTAATTCTAAGATACGGAAAAAATTCAACATTTTCTTGAGACTAATATATTATCTTAGTATTAAATTTTAATCGCTTCATAACAACGGCAGTTCTTTTGATAAATAAATACAGGAATAAAATCAAATTTCAAAAAATTTTCCAATCTTTAAAGAAGTTGCGTATATGTCTTTCTTTTAGACATGGTCAGGCAATTGGCCAGAGGATTCATCACCTAACTTAAAGTCATAATCGTAGCGATAAGTTTTTTGTTTTCTTTTTTACCAATCAATGAATGTTATATTCTTTCGAATGATATAATTTTTAATAGTTGAATATTTAATCAATGATTTACTTTCTTAAAATATTCGATTTTCAATTAAAAATTGCTCTTAGAGTAAGTTTGTGTGTGTCATAGGTACATTCTCAAAAGTGGTAAATTTCGTATTGATTATAGGTTTTTTTTATCAATGTCCGTGTTTTAGTTAAATATTAGGTGGTAGGTATTATTATAATTTAGTTATCTATACTAATAATTTGTATAAACTCTATTACCCACTTGAACTGATTATTGGTTGGATCAGAATTACGTCATGCCCAAAATATAAAAACAAGTAAATTATAGAAGACTAGCTGTTTTCCCGCAACTCCGCGCGCATAAATGTCACCCGCGTATGATATAGCTTCCCATAGTTGAAAGAATTTTAAAAGTGGTACTCCAGGGTGAATTTTTAAGTATTTTTAATTTTAATATAATATAATATAATAATGTATTTTATTCAATAATTGTTACATTAGATTGTTTTGAGACCACCCCAATAAGTAAATTGAAGTTACTCGTGTTGGGGGTGCCTCGCTCATCCTATCATGCATTAATCTAAAAACATTAAAGTTAACATAGATTCTTTCTTTCTCTTTCTATCTTTCCCAGCTCTTTTCTTGTATGTATGCAGGTGTATGTATGAGAGTATGTATGTATGGATGTGTGTGAATTTTGTGTGCACATGAACATTTGTAACATAATTAGTGTTTGTGTGTTGTTATGTGTATTTGTATGGGTATGTATGGAAATAAATTAACAATTATATTTACATAAAAGTGTTTCAGTTTCATCATAGTTGAGAGTCTTTAACCATTTTACAATGGAATCTTTACAAGTAGAAGAATTCATTTGGAAAATATTTAATTTTGTATTTAATCTATTGTAAATTTTAGTTGACTGACAAATGAACTGACGCTCAGCAAATGCTGTTCGCATCTGACGTGGTTTTATAGCTACCTCTTTTCGTCTTTTACTTGTATTTACTACTTTGTAAGGTAATGTTTTGTGTACACATAATATTGTATTCGTTATATATAATTGTCTGACTGTCAAAAGACCACAAAGTTTATATAGACTAGTTGTAGGGTATCTATACGGTTTTGAGTACATGACTTTTAGGAGTGATCTTTGTGCTCTCTCTATGTCTATAAATTTAGTTTTAGTTGTACCACCCCATATAGTAATACAGTAAGTAATCACTGACTGGGCTAAGGCTACATAGACGGTGTTCAGTATCACCGCGGGCATCAAATTCCTTAACATTTTAAAAATCCAAATTAGTTTCCTAATTCTGGTGACGGTTTGATCGATGTGGTAATGCCAACATAGCCTTTGGTCTATCCAAACGCCAAGGTACTTTATGAAATTGACTTTTTTTAGCACGGAACAGTCGCAGTTGCTACTATTAGAATCGTCACATCTATGTATCCTCAGATGGCAGGTATTTATATCTGGCTGTGTTCTTTGGTTCGGTGTAAAGCATATATAGTTGGTTTTTGCAGTGTTGAGAGTAAGAAGGTTAGTGTCAAACCATCTCGCCATTTTTGCCAGTCCCAGTTCAGCGTTTTTCTTTACTTCGACCCAGGATGCTCCAGAGAAGACAACAGCAGTGTCATCCGCATATGAGAAAGTATCACCATTTTGATGTCTCATATTACACAAGTTGTTTATGTAGATAAGGAACAATGTTGGTCCGAGAACGCTTCCCTGAGGAACTCCAGTTACAACATGTTCTTCGTCACTGACATAACTCTCTATTCTAACCTTTTGTCTTCTTTCCTGAAGATAACTTGTAAACAGAGAAAGTGGTGTGCCCCTTATTCCAATTCTTTCTAGTTCGTGCACAAGTATATGGATAGAAACGGTGTCAAATGCCTTTTTTAAGTCTAGGAATACCGCCACGCACTTATTGCCGCTGTCCACAGTGTTCACTATTAAGTTAGTTAGGTCTTTTATAGCATCCTGTGTTGATAAATTCTTCCTAAACCCATACTGACTATTAGATATAATATTATATTTTTGCAGATATCTTGTGAGTCTTAAATTTAATAATTTTTCAATGATCTTCGATATTCCAGACAGTACCGATATTGGCCTATAGTTATTGACGATGCCCCTATCTCCATTCTTGTGCACAGGGGTTATAATCGATAGTTTAAGAGACTTCGGAAATACTCCAGTTTTAAAACAGAGATTTGCAAGTTTATTTTATTTATTTTATTTATTATAAATTGGTCATGTTATAACATGTATGTCACATTTGGCATGTCAGAATTTTACAATACTATCGATAATTGTTACAGCTTATATAATATAATTATATTTCATAAATATGTAATTTGTATAATTATAAAATTATTCTTCATTCTCAAAATAATAATAACAACAGAAAATAATATCGGTAACAAAATTAAGTTGAAAATAATTATATAAATGAATAATTAGATTAATTAACTACATTTTCATTACAAATTAAAATTACAATCTTTCCATGTCTTTGTAAAAAATCATTTACTTTATAAAATGGATTAGAAACAAAAAATATTTTATTACAATTTTAAATTTATTTAATGGTAACTCGGTAATATTTTTAGGCAGCTTGTCGTACATATACATTTTTAAGTTGAATCCTTGTGTTTGGACCTTTTTTAGTTTAGTCGCCTGGATATGTATTTTTTCCTTGTTCCGCGAGTTATACCGGTGAGTCTTTAAAGATATTAATCAAAATATAGTTTTTTTTATGGTAACGAAGGTTGGTTGAGCTTGTTACTATTTCGAATGATGAGTGACAGATTATAAAACTGCGACAGCGTACGTGTGCGACGCTGTATTATTACATTGTAGCAAAGCAATGCATTATTTCATAATTTGTGTTTTATTTAGCATTCCGTTTGCGATGAGTTAGGCAATTTGCGCAAAGACGGGTGGTCTTAATCACCGGTCCATAGGGTGGTCTTTGGTGATCAAAAATTATGTTATCTCGAATTCTTCCGTGCTACGGAAGGTATGTTGAGCCAATGGCCGTGGTTGCAATTGCTGTCGTTAACACTCACCAATCCGCACTGGGCGCGTGATGGATTATTAGTATATTTTATTTTCTATGTACTTATATAATATTTTATTTTGTCATCATTATCATTCATCATCTTTATCGGTTTATCAATGTTCCCATTGCTGAGACATAGATCTTACCTATGGATGGAATCTAATAGAGTAGGGAGAATGGGCTATGTTCCCTATGGATAGAATCGATACGAATAGCGAGAACGGTTCATGGCTCAGTACGGACGCGTGGAATTAACGACTGTACAAGCAGCACGGAAGAGATTGGAATTTAAATTTTTTTGGTTATCCATCTTATGGTTGACCCACGCAATAGTTGCTTAACAACCGTACTGTAGATCGAACATATTAAACATTGCCCCTTCGAGCTCATTATAACATGTTTCATGCTGCTTCTAGAAAAATACATCGTTAATAAATAACAAGGGTTGCTGTTATAGGTCAATATTATGATAGAATGCTTCACAAAGGGCGCAGCGGGTGCCCTTTACTCTCTCCAATGAACCGTGAATTTATAAAATACGATAGTTGCAAAGAGATATTTATAATGAAATCTAGCATCTACTATAAATCAGTTTATATTAGATTTCATCATTAGGGTTGCCGAAAGAAATATTTCTACAATAATCTTCTTCTGGTATTTGGTCAATTTTGCATTCAATGTGAATGAATGCTATACTGAAAAAACATTCTTAATGAAAAATACTTTTGGCTATTTGGGTAGATTACCTGAACATTGGTGAAATACGTGCTGTAGTAGCAAAAAAGTAACAAGTGTTTGCAAAATTCGTCAGTGCTGTTGGCTCACCTGGTCGTTCGGATTGCGATTGTGGGTTCAAGTCTCGTTTCGTAGTGCCAGGGACAAAGTGAATTTTTCACTAAGAGTATTTTCCAGTGAAATATATTACAAATGCTTATTTAAAAAAATACTATGTTTCGCTAAAGAAATTTTGGAAACCCTAATGTTATACATTGCGCAGATTCCAAATTAATTAGCTAAAGCATTTGTATTCTGAAAAGTCAATTAACGAAGGTATATCCAGAACCGACACAACATATAGAAAAAAAACTATTTCCTCGCCCGCGTAAATTATAGCGTGATAATAGTGAGATAAAAAGTAATCTATATCGACGCTGGAAAGTAAACATAACCTGCAAAACCAAAATGGATATTTGGAGTGGAAAATCTTTATATTTTTCAATAAAAAAAATTCTTATTTCCAATAAACAAATAAGGTGTTTCTTAGTCAATTTATAATTGACCTAGAAATACTTTATTTGTTCTCGTGGACTTTTATAGGAATTATTTATCGAAAAACAAATAGTTTTTTCTGCTCTAAAGAATAATTTTGGTTTTGCGGTTTACTACATGTTTGCTTTC